ATTGTGTTTAGGGAAGCTGTCTGAGAAGCTTTTAATTGCATAGGCATGAGTGGTAAAAATAAGTAAAATTCGGATATTTCAATATTTATGGAGTGGATATATAGATAGTCCCCCCCCCCCGGTGGTCACTAATAAATGTATGAATGCGAGAAAGAAAGCTTATTGTTATTTATATATAATTTATAATAAAATGAACAGACATCTTGCACTTATCTGAAGTTCAAAGTTGGTAGATGCAATGGGAATGATATATGTGTTAGAATAAATCGTTCAACGCTGGTATAGGGATTAAGATAAAAGATTGATGTATGTACAGTTAAATGTTTAAGGAAATTTGTAGGGACACTATAGATGTATATGTACTATTTATTATAACAATTTATATAGCTACCCCTCTCACAGTTGTAGTACAGCACTCTGTGTGTACCAAACCAAACAAAAACCTCAGCAATAATTAATAAAATAATAGTGGCTAAGGAGAAACCCAACTCAGATCATAAAAAGCAAAAATTACATTGATGGGTTCATCTGACCTTTAGACCCCATACCCATACCCAGGTCTTTAAGGACTTAACAAAATGCTGCAGGATTGATGCCTCATAAATCTTATGATGTATGTTGCTCCAGAAAGCAGACACTACATTAGAGAAGCCACGGCTTCTGGGTCCAGTTTTTGCTCTTTTTCTGCAGTTTGTATAATGTTGGTTACCCTGAAAAGGAATAGCTAAGTATGTGTGCATGTGTTTTTCAAAATAGAAAATAAGGAACTGTGACTATACAAGAAAATGAGATTTTTAAAAAATACAGGTAGTCCTTGACTTATAGCAGTTCATTTAGTAACCATTCAAAGTTACAACAGCACTGAAAACAGTGACTTAGGTTGCCTGATTTCCTTTTACTGCTAATTCTTTCAAACACAATTGCTTTCTCCTGTGAACTCCCTGCATGGCATGACCAAAATAAGTAAGATGCAGTTTTATGATTTTTTTTTCATCCAGAGACATGTCTAGTGGTATGTACTCCAGTACTTGTTGATCACCTTTGCTGTCCAAGGAATACATAGGAGCCTTCTCCAGAACCACAGCTCAAGAATTGATTTTCTTTCTATCTTGCTTTTTTAAAGTCCAACTTTTACAACCATAGATAGCTGGGGGGAACACAATAAAGTGGACTAACCTACATTTGGCTGCCAGGCTAATGTCCTTGCTTTTCCATATTTGGCTTATGTTCATCATTGCTGTGTGATCCAGTGCAATCCAACATTTTATTGCTGGGATGCCATCACCACTTTGAATCATCTGCAACCCTAGGAAACTGAATTTTTTCATGCATTCTATCACTGCACCATCATTATATGCTGCCCTGAGTCTCTGGAGAGGGGCGGCATATAAATTTTATAAATATATAAATATAATATATATCAGTTTCTATTTTGATGTTTCCATTCCTTGCAGTGGTCATGAGCTTGGTCTTTTAGATGTTCAGAAAGACACCAAAATTCTCACTTTCTTCTTTGATTTTCTTAATCAGATGCTCTAGGTCTTCTTTGGTTTCTGAGAGGAAAGTTGTATCATTAGTATATCTGTCAGCGTTCCAGAAAAAAACCCAACTCCAAGTAAAGACTCTGAAGCAAGCATTATTCAAACTTCTATTTACTAGAATAGGTAAACTGGCATATCTGGGAAAACCAAGATTGTTGATGTTTCTTCCTTTTTTTTTTTTTTAAATTTGATTTATATGCCACCCTTCTCCGGAGACTCAGGGCGGCTTACAATGCGTTAAGCAATAGCCTTCATTCTTTTGTATATTTTTATGCAAAGTCAGCTTATTGCCCCCACAAACTGGATCCTCATTTCACCTACCTTAGAAAGGATGGAAGGCTGAGTCAACCTTGAGCCTTGGAGAGATTCGAACCAGCAGAAATTGCAGGCAGCTGTGTTAATAACAGGGTGCACTAAACCACTGTACTATCAAGCTCTTTAATCCAGTGGTGGGATTCAGCCAGTTCGCACCACTTCGGGAGAACCGGTTGTTAACTTTCTGAGCAGTTTGGCAAACTGGTTGTTGGAAGAAATAATTAGGGCAGAGAACCAGTTATTAAATTACTTGAATCCCACCACTGCTCTAATCTATCCCAATTTTTGATTCTTTGAGATGTAGCTTCCCAGTGAGAGAAGATTGAATAAGAAAGGGGAGAGAATACAACTTTATCACACTTCTTAAACCAATTGGTGTTCACACAGTGGCTTCCTGATTTGTGTAAGTGATTTCACCAACTTGATAAGATGTGCTGGTAACACACACAAACCCCCAGGTCTTATAGGGCTCTCCATAGCTTCTCATGATCAATACAATTGAAGGCTTCCTTGTAGTTGATGAAGGACGCATAAATGATTTTTTTAACCACAACCCCTTCGGAAGCCAGCTTAGTCATCTGGCAATTCCCTTTGATAGTTGTTGCTAAATGTTGTATAATTTTAAACAGAATCTTGTTGATGTGATGGATAAGAGCAATTGTGTGATAATTAGAGCAATCTTTAGAGTCACCCTTTTTCAGCAGTGGTATGAATACTGAGAGTTTCCAATCCTGTGGCCATGTGTTGGTTTCCCAAATTTTCTGGCACAGGTCTTTAATGACTTTGGATGATACAGGTCTCAGTAAATTTGCAGGGATGGTGTCGGCACCTGGAGTCTTGTTGTTGACCTTTTTCTCAAGGATGGCTGGTTCCATTGCTACTTCTCTTTCCTCACCATCTGAGGCTGGGCTTCTTTGCTCTCTGCATCCAGGTATTCTGTATATTCTTGTCATCTATTCTTGATGCTTTGTTGTCAGACAGTTCTTTCCTTTGCTTGTTTTTAATAATGCCTTTCCTAACAATAAATGGTGCTTGGATCTTTTTGACCTGCATAAATGCATTCCTAGTGTAACCTTCCATGTAGTCTTCTTCAAACTGTTTACATCGCTCATCCCTGTAAACTTCATTGTCCTTCCTTGCTGCCCTCTGGAAAGTTGCACTCAGTTTTCTTGCTTCTTCACATTTGCCTGTTGCCTTGGCTGCTTTTTTTTGCTCAGCTCTTTTTTGATGGTTTCATCTGAGAGCCATTTTTCTCTGGCTTCCTGTATGGTATGTGTTGTTCTGCAATTCTAATAATGGTCAATTGACTTTCCTGACACAGTTCATCAGAAGTCTTCTCAGCAGTGTCCAGTAGTTGAAACTGATTTTTCACCTCAATTATATATGTAGTAGGAATTTTGGTCACATCAGACTTCTTTGATGGTGGCACTGCCTTTTGATGGTGCATAGTTTGATTTTAATCTTTGCTACCAGCAATTCATGATCTGAATCAACATCAGCACTTGGCAATGTTTTAATAGCAAGTACTGAACTGATCCATCAATGACTGCATAAGACATAGTCGAACTGATTATGGTGAAGTCCATAGGGTGAGGTCCAAGTGTATAAGCGATGCTTGTGCTGTTTGAAATGTACTCATGATCCTAAATCATTTTTCTTGGCAAAATTGTACCAAATGACCACCTGCATCGTTCCTCTCACCTAATCTAAAACGACCAGTGGCGCCTCTCTCTGCTTGTTTGACAACTTTTGCATTGAAGTCACCCAGAATGTAAACAACTGTCTTTTGGGGACACTTGTTACAGAGTTTCTTGGACCATGGCATAAAAGCTCTTTATTTCAAGCTCTGTTTCAGCAGTTGTTGGAGCATAGACTTGGATAACTGTAATGTTGAGGGGCTTGGCACAAATTTTGATGATCATAATTCAGTCATTGACAGTTGAAAAGCTTCCCACTGCTCTAGCAAGTTTCTTGTTTACAATAAACACCACTCCATTTGTTTTCCTAGTATCATGTCCTGAATAATAGACAGTGAAATCCTCAGACTGGAAAAAGTCATTGTCTGACCAGTGTAGCTCACTGACACACAGGAGAGTAATTTCCAACCTGATCATTTCCTGTCTTTCCTCAGGTCTTTCTCCAACCTTGTAACTCGCTTTTTGACAGCTGCCAGGGACAGCAACTGCCGTGGTCCTTGTCAACCTGGGCGAAGACCAATCAGATATAGGATTCTTTTTCTGTTGTCTCATCATGTTAATGGGTTTGTGGATACTCTTAGTCTGGCTCCACAGTTGAAATCTTAACAGAACACACAAGCCAAGGGATATCCATATGGAGGAGAAATTAATAAGTAAATAAATAAAAAAATTAAAATTTTAAGGAAGACTTTATTGTTATATCTGCCGATAGTTAACTTTATAGTGTTTCATTCCAATTGTCCTGTGATAATAATTGATCTCCTGACAATTTTTCTTCGCTTGAATTGAGTTTGTTAGTCATTTCACACTAAGGGTTTCATTTATACTTACCCCTGGTTTGATGTGATTACTGAATAAGCTATGAATGTAATTAATACTATACCATAATATGATGAAAAAATATATTCTAGTCATTTGATGAAATCATACAATATGAGAAAAGACTACCTATAAGCCAAACGAAAAACAATTGAATTTAAAACTAGATGTACTAAATTAATTTTTAAGGAACGTCCACATAGTCACAGAGCTACTCAAAGGGGCATAAACAAGAGTTAAAAATCATAGTAACAAAAGAAGAACCAACATGATTCAACAGTGTATGGTGGCATTTTCATTCTAAAAACTCTTTCGTAAAATAGATTAGGTATACACATTTCAGTGCAGTTAAAATATTATTTGATTATTGAAGACTGAAATAACTTTGTTGGCCCTGGTTTATATCTGGTGTTAGATGCTCTTTGTTCTTATGGATTTTCATGCATAAGGTAGGACTAGAACTCACAGTGTCTAACTTGGTGCCTTAACCTCTAGACCAAACTATTGCATTTTGATTGAATATACAGTAATTTATCATAGATATATCTTAAGTGTTGCTTGAATAATATAAATGTGATATACATATCTCTGCAAAAATGAATAATTAGTGTGATTTTCTTTACACTAGGACCAACTGCACACCTATTATACTGTTATGTTGCAAGATGTAATTGGAAAGACTTTCCGACTTCTGGGATATACCATTCAGTATGGCTGCATAGCCCATTGTGTTTTTGAATATCTTGGAGGAATTGTGATGGTAAGTTAAAAGAAGTTAATTTTGATGAAAACAAGTATATGTTTTCAATTTGTTACTTTTGAGTCTACTAATATTAACATCTTTGGATCAATAATCTCAGCAGATGGCAGGATCCTTCTGATATGGCCTGAGCTCAGAAACTAAAACAGATTAGGCCTGGATAATAGTGAGAGGAGAAACTAGTTTGGTATGAAGACTAAACTATGTAAGAAGTTGAAAAAATATCCCAAAAGAACCAATAGAGAATATTTGTAGTGCTAGTTGAAATGAAGGGTCCTTGGTACTCTCTGAGCTTGATTGTTTTCTTGCAGATGTTTCATTACCAGAACTAGGTAACATCCTCAGTGCTAGGTTTGCTCTCATTTTATGTTCTAGCACAGGCCTGTCAAACTGTGGCCTGCAGGCCGGATACGGCCCGCAGAGGCCACACCCATCCCGGCTCCACAAAGGCAAAAAACATCATGTTACATCACGATACGGCCTGCAACGCGATCGAGTTTGACACCCCTGTTCTAGCAGCTTGTTCTGTCAATGTTGGTGGGGGTGGTCTTGGTGGTTCTTTGATTGGGCTGTTTACTGTTAGCTTGTTTGGCAGTTCCTTGATATCTCTATTTCACTTGGGAGATGTAAATGGTGAGAGGAAGAAGTAAAAGGGTCAATGATCTCTAGCATGGATTTGTGTTAAAGTAATATGTAGGTTGGATAACGGTTTTTTTGTAGAGCTGTCAAAGCTCATTTCAGATATTGTAAACTCTAGCAATATTTCTAGTAAAAATCCAAGAACTTTGGAATCAAAATCCATAAATACTAATATCTAATTGGTATAATTGAAAATACAGTTCTATAAGCTTTTGTATTACAGTGGTATCTTGGTACTTGTTAATTGGTTCTGGGAGGCACAAGTACCAAAAACGACTACCAAACACATTTTCCCATTAAGGAATAATGTATTGGTCATGAGGTAACTGACACTGACAAGTTCTAGCTTGCACATTGAGTACTAAACAAATGAATACCAGGAAAAATGTTTTGCATCAAAATGCATTAAGTACCAAATTTGATGAGTTTAAAAGCAGTCAAGGCACCACTGTATATCGTTAGTAACATTAGTTTAAATTAGTGACATTGTTTTCCATGAACTCTTAGCTACTAACAAGTATATTTTGGAGTCTTTAAAATAATTTGGAAAACGTAACTCACTTTCTTTGTTTGCTTCTTTAGTGTACAGGACCTTCAATGGAGCCTACAATTCAAAATTCTGATATTGTATTTTCAGAGAATCTTAGTAGCCACTTTTATCGTATTCAGAAGTACGTTGCTTTAATTTTTTATAGTTTATCCAACAAGTATTTGTATGCTTTCTGTTAAAGAACTTATGGCTTCCTTTATCATTTTCCATATTAATATTATATACTTCATTCTACAGAAATTAAAAGACTAACATTTTATGGTTGATGGAAGTTTTCTTAACTATACTTTCATAGTGCTTATTTAAAGGTTATCTTGCTTTACTTTGTAATGGATAGCTAGAGATTATCATCAGGATGCAAAGTCAGGATGCAGTTATCTCCAGAAATGTAAATATCATTTTTATGTTATCCAAATACTGTTTTATTAGTAGTTTATAGAGTACCGAATGTGTGCATAATGCTAAACACTGATAAAAATCTGGATTGCATGCATTAAGCCAAGCATTTACAATCAGATAGTTATTGCTGTTGGACAACAATTCAAACATAGCTTGTGGTGAACCACAAGACTTAAAAGTAACTATGAAAATGAAATAGTTGTGTTTCCAGGTATAAGCCTATATCCTAGAAATCACCTTAGGTTTGTTTGCATTTTAAGTAAAAGTTACTTCTTGCCAAAGTCTCCATATGCTCATGGAATTATTACTCCCTTTCAAAAAAGGAAGGATATTTTATCTAGTACAGGGTCATCAACCCCCAGACCGTAACCCACTACTGGGCCATGACCTATTCGGAAATGGGCCGCATGAGTGGCTGGCCAGAGCTGCTAGTTGATTTGTGGGCGGGCGCAGGCCGGCCTCTTCCTCCCCACAACCCCGGCCAGGCTGCAAAGCCGCAAAGATTGGGGACTATTGATCTAGTCTTTTGGTTGGCAGGTAAAAACAACTACCTTCCCATCTGTCCTCTAATATACTGCAGCATTGGAATTTTCTTGCTCAGTAGACTAAAAGCAAAATAATCTGAAGTGCCTGGAGGATGTGGGCTACATTAGAATAACTACATACCTGATTTGGGATAGATTTTAAATTGTGTTTTTCACTTAACAAATTGCAAGATGCTGACTTTTCCTTATGACCTTTCCATAGAGGTGATATTATCATTGCAAAAAACCCATCTGATCCCAAAACAAATATTTGTAAAAGAGTAATGGGCCTGGAAGGAGAAAAAATCTGTACAAGCAATCCCTCAGATTTTATAAAGACCCACAGTTATGTAAGTATTAATTTTGTTTTCAAATCTTTCATGTCTTGTAGTGGCATTTTTGTTTTCATGCCTTTAATTAAATTTCATATATCATAAAGCAGGGGTGTCTTAACTCGATTTCATTGAGGGCCACATCAGGGTTGTGTTTGACCTTGGGGGACTGAGTAGGCATGGCCGGGATGGGCATGGCCAGCTCAACATCTTGCAGCCCTCTGCCAGTGAAAACGGAGCTCCGTTTTCACTGGCAGAGGCACCATGGGCTAGTCCTTTGCTGTTTCTAGGGCGGCCTCACTGGCCAGATTTAAGCACCCCGCAGGCTGGATTCGGCCCGTGGGCTTTGAGTTTGACACCCTGCCATAAAGGAATTTTCTGCATTTTTCTCCCTATAGTTAGCCTTTTGCAAAGTTTCCTTTGAACCTCTCAGAAAAGAACTGAAATACAATACAGAGACTATAGTGGAAAGAAAAACATGAACAGAAACAATCTTGCACCAGCACTGTTTTGCACTAGTTACAATCTTAATGACAGTGTGAAACATCTTAATATATTAAGAGTTCAATCTTTATGTCCTGGTTTCTTAATATGACAGATGTTTTAAATTTTCCAGTCTCTTGAGTTATGTATAATGTTCACCTCTTTCAGTTATGACCATCTAATTACTCATTAGCTTTGAACTTTTTAGAAAAGTAAATGGAGTGGTTCTTGACATGAAATAAGCTGATCATTGGATGGGAATTGGAAACATTGTAGCCATCCAAAATCAGTCAAGTAGTTAGGCAGATTTAGTTGTAGTCATTCATTCGTATACCAGAGACTACACAAAAAATTAAAGATTAATCTGATGCTTGCTGTTATTACCATATTTTCCCCAAAATAAGACCCTGTCTTATATTTTTTTGAACCCTGAAATAAGCGCTTGGCCTTATTGCCATGCGCTCAAAAGCCCGATTAGGCTTATTATCAGGGAATGTCTTATTTTGGGGGAAACAGGGTAATAGATCATTTATTGGAGGGTTTCCAAACGTAGTTCCTTGGTAGTGACATGGACAACTTGGCACTTTGCTGACAATGGTTGGATTTAATACATAGAACCTTGTGTAAAATATTATCTGAGTGGACAGGATTGAAGGAAAAATGTAGAATACATAAATAGCATGTTGTTCATTTTATAAATAAATATAAAGCAACATTTTACTGATGAGGGCCTGGTGGCTCAGCAGACTGATAGCATTGTGATTAACACCAGCTGTCTGCAATTACTGTAAGTTCGAATCTTACCAGGCTCAAGGTTGACTCAGCCTTCCATCCTTTCTAAGGTAGGTAAATTGAGGATCCAGTTTGTGGGGGCAATAAGCTGACTTTATATAAATATACAAAAGTATGAAGGCTATTGCTTGTAAGCCGCCCTGAGTCTCCGGAGAACGGCGGCATATAAATCAAATTTAAAAAAAAAAAAAAGATCAATTACTGCACATTCTTAAACAAATCTGTTCTTTTAAACCTTGTTTTAACCTCTTCCTTCCAATCATGCGTTTATTATTTTTTTCTTTAATAGTGGTGGACCTGTCTTTTTTGATTTTAACAGATTCACCTGCTTAACATACATTTGGTGAAGTTACTTCCCAAGTCTTAAAGTGTTTCTTGTTCTTCTATATACAACTTTTCTATAAAATATGACTATTTGCCTTGGTGGCGCAGCAGACTAAAGTGCTATTAAGTAGCACCAGCTGCCTGCAATTACTGCAAGTTCAAATCTCACCAGGCTCAAGGTTGACTCAGCCTTCCATCCTTTTGAGGTAGGTAAAATGAGGACCCGGTTTGTGGGGGCAATAAGCAGACGTTGTATAAAAAAGAACACCGCTTGAGGGGGCCGAAAGCCCTACTAAGCAGGTATATACCAAAGTATGAAGGCTATTGCTTAACGCATTGTAAGCCGCCCTAAGTCTTCAGAGAAGGGCGACATATAAATCGAATGAATAAATAAATAAATAAATAAATAAATAAATAAATAAATAAATAAATAAATAAATTTGGTTTTTAATATATAATGTAATTTATATAAATTTAAACCAGTTTTTTAAAACATTTGTAGACGTAGGATTGAAAAGTATTTAGTAGCAGAAGATGTTAAAGCATACATCAAAAGTTCAAATAGCTAATATGATTTACTCTAAATCAAACTATATATTTACATTTACACTCTGTATAGCAGGGTTCAGACATTAAATAAATTTTGGAATATTTTGTTGTTTTACATTCCTTTGTTGTGCACTAATCCCAATCTTTAGAACAGCATAAATAAAAAACATACACATTTTATATATGCATGTGATTGAATAATATGTACATTGTATTTTGTTTATATTTATTTGGTTCCGTTAGTATTTACAAACTGAAGTTGTTGCTTGAAGAAAGACATAATGTCATTTACTGCAGGCAAGACGTATACTAACAAAACTGCTTTATGCAAATAGCGATAAAAAGATGATATACAATTTCATTTCTCAGCAAGATTTTACTGATGATCAATGATCACACTCTTAATGCCCTGGCTGCAGCTGATGTAGAGAAAAATGTTTACTCGTTGCTGAAGTTAAATTCATTCTGGAGAAGAGGTGCACCATCATCCTGTGGCTATCTCTAAAGCTAACAGTCTGAAAATTGTGTTATGGTTGAGAACAGGTCTTATTCAGCAGTTTGTGATAACTATAGATTAATTAGCCTTCAATAGGCAATACTTAATAGGATGTGGACAAATCATTGCCTTTATTTTGGAAAATAATCCAATTTAAATTGGAGCTGAAGCAAAATGAAAAAAATTCACATCTCTCTTAAGAATCATGTGATAATCACAGTGCTTTCAATTTGCAAACAAAATATTAATGTCCTTTCTCTAGGAATAAAACCTTCTAAATTCCAGGCAGTCCAATAAGTGAGTGAAAAGAGAGTATGACAAATTGGCATAGAGAAAGGAATGCACCTGCATCCTTCCCTTCACCTATGCCTTGTGAACAGTGAGTGAGTCGGCTCTTTTAAAAGGAGCTGTACAGGTAGTCCTTGACTTACAACCATTCATTTAGTGACCATTTGAAGCTACAACAGCACTGAAAAAAGTGACTTATGTGACCATTTTTCACAGAATGCCAGGATTCAGGATTGGACCACAGAACCACAATAAGCCAAGTGGTAGCAGACTAGTATCTAAAAGTCTTAGACAGGATAAAAGAATGGCGCTGGGAGGAGAATGTGGAGAGTCTTATTTTTCCTGTCTTGCACAGCCCCAATGTTACATAGAGTGGCTGAACAAGACTGGCAGATAAGTACTGATAGTGAGAGGCAATTGAATGAGATAACAACTGAGCAGAATGGGAGAAAGACTCAGAGAGCAGAAGAATGGCAATTTTGGTAGCCAGAGAACTGCTTCTGGAGGGCCTCCAAAAAAATGAAAGCCAGAGAGACCAACATTGCAAACAATCCAAATGATCAGCTCCAAACAATAGAGATATTGCCCCATAGCTATAAGGGCAATAAGAAATCCAGAGAGAAACCAGGAGATCTGAGCAGTATTATACCTGACCACATCACCTTACCAATAGTAGATCCTTGTTGGTATCAGAGCATATGAATGGATACGAATGAAATCAGACACATAAGACAAGTTTATACAATGCTGTTTTTTACTATATAAGCTTAGTGCAAAATATATTTTCAAGACTTTTAGAGAATGTGTTTATATCTATGTCTATAATGACCAAGAATGAATATGAACAATAATAAATCTAAGAATATAGTCTACTAATAGAAGTTAACCAAAGTATTTACATTTTTATTCCTTCGCTTTGTAAAACCAATGCTCAGCTGCTAGTTTCTTCCTCATCCCATGTTTACTTATATCAGTATAGAGTTAGAAATGGTAATAATTTCTGTCCTTAACACATTCATGACCAGATATCTAGGACCTGAACCACATGGAGTCTGACCATAGTCTGGATTCCACCTGGCTCTTTTTGTAGGTTCATTTTTTGGCTTTAGCTGCTTCAAGCTCCTTCCTAGTTCTTCCTGGCTAATCCTGGCTAATCCTCATTCTCTCAGCTGTCACCTCTTCTGTTCCATGTCCGATCACCTCTGCAGTAGCATCTCCCACAACACGAAGAAGACCTCTCCACCCCTCTTCTGTCTATCTACTGTGACTTCTTTTATACTTCTTTCTTTTTGAAATCTACAGGCCAGCTTGCAAATGATTCAAAGAGTTCAACCCCCCCCCCCTTTTTTTATTTTTACTGTGGAACTGCCAACATGCCCAAGCTGTGCACCTGACCACCACCGGGAAAAAACTGACCTAAACAGTTGCATGTAGCATTTTCTTGTTTCAAGGAAGTTCACCTTTCCACAACTGGTGCTAGGTAAAAAATCAGCAAAGGAGATGGCAGCTTTCCAGTCAACCGGAATCAATGCGCAGATGAATTGCAGGTTACGGATGGGCAGAGAAGAGTAAATTAAGGATTTCAAAAGTCAGAATTATAGGATGAAGAAAAATACAAAAGAAGACAACTGAAAAATAGAAAACAAATTGTAACAGCAGCAGTTCTAGTTTACAGTGTAAAAAAGCTATATAAGATGATGGATACTACATAAGATTATTAGAATAAGAGAGCAAAAATAAGACAAACTATTGAATGTAGAGTCAAGTTTATTTTCTATCAAATTATTACAACGAAGTACATTTTCCTAGTGAGCCTGTGTCTTGTCTGAATCTATACCATTCCTGAATGGGGTGTTTAAAAACAAGTACGCTCAACATGTTATTTAATTTCCTAGGGATGAGGGACACACAACTATCTCTGTGATAAGAAATCTTCAGGCCAGATTTCTTCAACCTGGATCCCCTGCAGAAATATGGACTTCTACTCCTATATTTCCCAATCTGCATGGTTATTACTGAGAATTCTGTGAGCTAAAGCTCATTAAATTAAATGAGAAGCAATCCAGTAATACAATAGAGCAATATTATTTAACTATAAAAGAAATTAAGGCTATGTAGGAACAATATACTCAGAAATTACTTGTTTGATACTATAATAGAAGATATAAAAGAATAACAGATTATATTGAATAAAAAAGGGGCTGAAGCTGATTTGAATGTAGATCTGAACTTTTAAAAAAGCCATATTACAAAAGTGACACAGAAAATATGACATGATGGATTTACAATGTCTTAATAATTAAAGGGGATATACAAATAAGAGAATGATTTGGAAAGTTTTTTTTAAATCTTGGGTTTACAAAAAGGATGGGTTAAACTACTGAAGCTGATCCTAAAAGGAGATAGAGAAAATGATAAGAAATCAACATATAGAATTATATTTGACAGGATTAAAGATCAAGCTTTTTAAAATTAAGCAGAATTATAAAGTGAAATTTGATGGGGATTAAAATATGTATGTTGTGGTTTCTGATAGCTATTAATGAGATTTATTTTGGACCAGGACCAAATGACAAGGCCTTAAAGATCTGTTTGTAAGTGGGAAGAGATTTATTTTATTTCTTGAAGAAAGTGATTGGATTATAAAATGGATTTCTTTGAAGGTTAAAATATGTATCTTACTATTTTTGGTAGCTCTCAATAGACTTTTGTTGATTAGTACTAAAAATGTGTTTTTACAATGTGTTTTACTAATAAGGGAAGAAGAGGTGTTTTTAAATTGAAATATTAGAGAAGGTGTTACTGAAATGGTTTATACTTTTCTGGAGGATGACAGAGTCATCTTTCATATATATTTTTCTATCTCTGCACCTTTTTATACTTTCCTGTTTGTAGTAATATTTATCTTTGTATTTGTAAACTTTAATAAAATTATTTTGACTCTGGCTGTTCTGTTAACTCCAAAACTGAGCCAATCCTTTATCCCTGTCCATTATTGTCCTAATGCTATCCATTAGGCTTTTAATTCTTGGGGACTGATTGTCAAATACTGAGATTTTCTCAACGTGTTTAATACACTCTGGTTAAGTTGGAAATTGTATTTTGTGTTCAGGGTTTCCTAATGCCTTTGTAAGCATAAGGCGCGCTCCCCTTTTCACATACATCATTGGTTTTGTTAAGGAGATCCTTCATGCTAGGAATGTGTTAGTAGGGCCTCCAGCTGATTGTTAGTGTTTGAAGATATTTTATTTTCTAGACTTCTGAAAACTTTCATTTTTTAAGGTAATGGTAGAGCAAAATGGTAGTGCTGGAGAAGACTCCTGCAAGTCCCTTGGACTGCAAGGCAAACAAACAAGTCAGTCCTAGAGGAGATCAACACTGACTACTCTTTAGAAGGCCAGGTCCTGAAGATGAAACTCAAATACTTTGGCCACCTAATGAGAAGGAAGGAGTCACTGGAGAAGTGCTTAATGCTGGGAAAGATTGAGGGCAAAAGAAGGGGATGACAGAGAACAAAGTGGCTGGATGGAGTCACTGAAGCAATACGCGTGAGCTTAAATGGGCTCCAGAGGATGGTAGAGGACAGGAAAGCCTGGAGGAACGTTGTCCATGGGGTTGTGATGGGTCGGACACGACTTTGCAACTAACAACAACAACAAAGCACAAAATATTAGGGAGGATGTCTTTCCCTTGGGAAAATTGTAGATGAAGTTGGAGTTGGCATTTTTCTCCAAGAAGGATGCAGGGAGTCAGTTCTTAAACATGCTCCCATCTGGAAGCACATTTAAGCCTGCCCCTTAAGTTGATATTTAGCATATTTCCCTTTTGCTTTTGAGAAATACGTAGGGATGGTAAAATACCTAGAATCGCCAACCCAAAGCAGTAACAGATGCATTCCTGTTTAGAGGATAAATGGAGTTTGGAATTGTGTCCTCCCCTTCCACCACTTCAGAAGAGCTAGTCTTGTCACCTCTTTTTTCTCTTGTTCTGTCTACAACATTCAATAACCACTCTTCACTCTGCATTGACTTGCCATCTTCCAACTAACAAATCTTCTAGTGCTTGTTTTCTCCAGTTTCAAACCACTTAGCTGTTACATACCTACCAAATTTTCCATTTTTTCCCTTGTTCAGTCCAGTTCTTCTCACTCTGCCAACCCAAATTTCCCCTCCATGTTTCACCTCTTCCTTTCATTTTGGTCCTGCCCTCTGGGACAAGGAGGAATCATTTTTATTTTTTATTTTCATTTATTTATTTAGGGAAATTCATCTCCAAGTTCTAAAATGTTTAACTTCATATTAGTTTTAATAGCCTTTGAATTATTTCAGTGTATATAAGTCCAGGAATTGTTCTATAGCTGTTGTACTATGATTGATATAAAGCAATTTCTTTATGGCTGAATCCCTAGCATGTTGTTCATATGCGGTACATATTAAAAGGCTTCTGTCACATTGTAAGGTCACCATTATTAATTTTTAAATTATAAGGAGGGACTTGCTGGTTTCTGATGGTCATTAATACAATATTATGTGTTGTGAATCCTGCCTGCACATAGAATGAACTGTGATATTAATTAGAACTTTGACAAGTCCTCTCTGATAAAATGATGAGATTATTCGTAATTGATGTCACAATCAATTACCATTTAGTTCATCAGAAGCTTACTAACTGGTCTAGCCTTAGTGCTGGCCTCAGGATGTTGATGAGTGTGTGGCTGCCCTGCTTATGCTATTACTGTGACAGTAGAGCAAGATTTTCAGTCAACATCCTAAATTAACTCTTTTAAAGTCTATTAAATAAATGAATGTCATACCGGTCCAACCTAACATCTCCATTTGTAGATTTTTATCTGTGTTGCAGTGTTTTGGGGAGCCTATGACAGAGTATTTATTGGATTTCCTCCCCCTGAATCTAAAAGTGTAAAATTATTCATTTGCTGCAATTGTATAACGTATGAAACTAGACTGTATTAATTGCACTGCTTTTCACCTACATATTTGTTCTTTAATTTTAATATTTCTCAGGTACCTAAAGGACATGTTTGGTTAGAAGGTGATAATCTCAAGAATTCTACAGATTCCAGGTGTTATGGTCCTGTTCCATATGGATTGATAAGAGGACGAATTTGCTTTAAGGTATATTTCTACAATCTAAAATGTGTTAATTTAACAGTTGTTATAGTCTTTGGGCTTAAGCTATGACAATGAGACATGTTCATTAGCTAGTGAAGCACAGGGACCAGGGTGTTAAAATGTTACAAAGAACATGATCTTCTTAAACAAGATTGTGTTTAAGCCTTTACAAAGTATTAGTTAAGTATCTACCTACATAAAAATTTGTGTGTGCGCACGCACTCACACACACAATCTCTCTCCCTTTCTCAACAATTCATTTGATTTTCTCTTTTCACTTATAAAAATACCACCATCTTGAACTGTCATTTTTTTTATTTTGCAGCAAAAATAACAATAGTAAATATACTAGTTTGGACCCAACAATTCACACAATGGGGCTTCTCTTCCTGCTTCCCAAATATTACAATGTTTTCCTTGGTAGCAGCATATGATGTGATATGTAGAAAATCAGTGGCCTGCCTTATGTACACCTGAAAGGCTTTTTCACTTCCACAAGAAGTACTAAAATACCACTCATTCCACACCTTCAGCGGCTCCACTTCTTTTCTTCTCTTCAGTTATTCCTATGCTGATTACTGCTTTGCTTTAACCAGTTATTGATTCCTAAGAGTACCTGAACTCTAATTCCTTGTTTGCTTAGTCGATTCAGAAATCCTCAGCGAGGGATTTGCTAAAAGCTTTTCAGAAATCGAAGTATAAAATCTTCCAGATCAATATTTACATGTTCAGAGTGTCAAATAACATAAATGGCTGTAATATAAGGTTTTTCCTTATAGAAGCCACCCTTTTCTTCCTCAATATTAAGCATAACATGCTTTTAGTGTGATGGATCATTTTATAAAAATGCTTTTATGCCATTCTCTCATAAACAGAAGATTTTAATGATATATTTTTAAAAATTATTTTGGCTTCCTGCCTCATCCTGGGTGCATTTCATCTGTTTCGTTTCTTATGCAATTGTAGTTTGCTGGTTAGCTCTCATATCTGATAATATTTATTCATAATTCATCTATTTTGTTTAGATGAGTGTATGCCTAAAGAGTACCAATAATTTTTGATGTATGCAGAAAGAAAACAAATCCTCCATAATAGTCATATATACATCTTAAAGTAATGAGAATTGGTCATATATATATATATATATTCACATTATCTTAAACCAGTGGCCGTCAAGCTTTTGGGGATCAGGGACCAGTTCTGTGAAAAGAGGTTTTTCCATGGACAGGAGGGGGAGTGGTGTTGCATGCTGTCTGCATCCTGTAGATGGGGCTTCACTTGTTTGTGTGGCCTGATTTCTGGCATGCCATAGCCCTATGCTGGTCCATGGTCTAGGGGTTGGGGGTTGGGGACCCATCTTAAACAATTAAAATATTTAGCCTTAACAGAAAAAAATGTGAGAAAATTAAACCAATAAAAACGTTCTAATTTTCTAAACAATCTTAATATATCACCTGAAATCTTGATCAATCACCATTGAGTATGTATTTTTGCCATGATGTGTATCCAGAGAAGCAGTAGGGAGAGATTGGAACTATAATTCATACCAGAAAATTCCAAATATTTTACTTATTAAATAAACATATTTCATTCTTGAAATTCTCCCAACACTGTAGTTTAAGTGAAGAGCATATGTACTGTATTTTTTAGACTATAAGATGCTCCGGACTATAAGACGCAGATTAGCTTTAGAGGAGGAAAACAAGGGAAAAAACCCTACTTCTGCCTCTGCAGCCCATTCGCTGCCGGTTGCTGCAAATGGGCGGCAGTGACGATAGGCGGCGGTGATCCCAGCCACCTAGAACAGCTGATCGGCACTGCACCAACCCCCTTCCCCCCGCTACAATATTCGCTCAATAAGACGCATAGACATTCTCCCCTGAAGTGGAGATAGCATCCAAGAATGGGTTGTCCTCATCTGCTAGCCAATAGGACTGAGTCTGTCAAAGCTGCGAGGACATGCCGACACCAACGGTCCCCAGCTTTTGACTCAGTCCTAGCTAAAGACAGACGTGGTTTTAACTAGGTCACCTATTCCTGGATACTTTTCTACCTTTGATCTTCACCTTCTTTGACTATACCTCCAATGTGACAGCTCTTTTCAGAACTTTGACAACTGTATCACCAACTAATTCCAGTGTGAAGAGCTTTTAGCTCGAGCCTGCTGAGCTCTGTGCCGAGCTCTGCGGCAAGTCAGATCACCAGGAGATGATCCCGACAAGACGTCCAGTCGAGCATTGCTCGCAGAGCCAGCTGGGGCATTTGTGGAGCTAACCAGCGCTCCTGCGCTTCCGAGATCGGCAAGAGCTTCAGCGCTTCACCGCTTACAGAGGGCGGCCGGCTGAAAGGTGAGCCTTGGACTGTCATTAGACAGTCCCCCAGAACAAGACCCAAAGATCGAGTCCCTTCCCGTTCCCTGGGCATACTTACGAATTGCCGCCTTTCTTTCCTTTCGCAACAGACCCCTTGAGGCATGTCTACACGGCAGGAGCTTTAAAATGGAAACCGCGCCTGCCGCTGTAAGCGGAGAAGCCACTTCAACAAGGAAGAGCCCGAACAGGGCATGGAGAGTTGGAGTGGCTTCTGGGGCCTCGGGATCGAGGCCCGCAAGCCAGAAAGCAGCCGCAAAGCTCTTAAAGAGGTCTAGGGGCATGGCTACACCTACCAAGGCAGCAGAACGAGAGGCAGCAAGGTGCCAGAAGGCCATCGATTGGGAAGTGGCCAGGGAGCTGAAGGAGGCTGACCGCAGGAGAGCGCCTCCAGCCCTCAGTCAGGCAGTTTCCTGCCAAAATGTGGGACAGCTGTTGGGCCAAATTGAGGCACTTGAAAACAGGCCTCCACAGACTCTATCTCCAGATGGCGCTGGAGAGCAGCATTCAAGAGCTGAAGCCATTCTGCCCAGTAACAGTGAGTCACAGTCTGGGTCCCATCCAGACCCTTTCTCTGCCTCTTCTGCCTGGCAAAAGCCTTCAAGGCAAAGGGTTTCATCTAAGGAAGCGACCTTTACTCCGACCACAGTAGGAATCCGCTCAGGGGAAGCCCAGGAATTTCAAGTTCCTTCTGGCATGGAAGCCTTAATATCAGAGGCTATACAAAAGGGGATAGCAGCTGTTTTACAGCAAAGCCAGAGCGCTGCTTCAGTTAGACCTGACTATCCCTTGTCTCTAGATCTCCCTCTGGTGCCTCAAGCTTCAGGGGAATTTTTGCCCATACAGGAACCATACTCCCCTGCTTCCTCCAATCAGTCACCCTCAGAGGAAGAGATGCCCAGGGAGTTAGAGCTGTCAGAAGACGAGGGTTTAGCACCTGACCAGCCAGCTTTTGCTGGTCTTTTCCGGCCAGCCTTGTTTAAATCCTTGCTGTACAAGGCTAGGAACACAGCACACATCGCTGGCTATTTGCCAGCTCCAGAGCCAATTCCAGATCCAGTGGAGCCTATGGGCCCACTGTTTTTAGAACCAATGGCAGAGGCTGAGGTGGTGCCTTCGCCCAGATTATTTTTGAATGTGGTGCAAAGGCAGGGGGCCTCTCCAGGGGCGGGAGCAAATCCCAGCTCACTGGACGAAAGGTTCTACAATGTGGGCCCAGACTTGTCCAGGGCACTTCAGGTGCCTGCGGTGGATGGCCCGGTGGCAGCGTTGGCCATGCTATCCATAATGGCCACCGCCTCTACAGTGACTTCCAGATGACTCCTGTGGCTCCGCCAGTGGCAGGCGGATACCAAACATAAGTGGAGACTAGCCTCCGCCCCGTTCTCAGGGGAGTGGTTGTTCGGAGAGGCCTTGGATCCAATACTGGTCGAATCGAAGGACAAACGTAAGGTCCTCCCTTCCCCTTCCCAGCAGACAGATTTCCACCCCCAGCCTTATTTCCTCCGCCAGTTCTTTAGAGGGCCAGATACCGGGTTTGGGCCACAGAGACCACAGTGCCCCTTTGTGCAAAGGCAGGACCAGCAGCAGGACGGGGCGGGGAGGTATAAGCAGCTCCCCCCTAAACAGCCCCTTTGAGGGGGAGGAAGCCGTTCTTTCAGGCAGCAGAAGTAATTTCAACCCCGACTCCTATTGGGGAATGCCTGGCCAAATTTGCCAGGCAGTGGGAGAGCACTACTACGGATGCATGGGTTCGGGAGACAGTCTGGTCAGGCCTCTCCCTGGAATTCCTCTCCACACTCCCAAGGTTTTTTATTCCCTGCCCCATTTCGGGGAACAGGGTCAAACGTGGACTCATGGAAACCACTATTCAACATCTGTTGGAGATACAAGCGATTCAGCCAGTTCTGGGGGATCAACAGGATGGGGTTCTATTCCACCTCTTTGTAATTTTGAAACCCTCGTGTGGGGGGGTGGGGGGTGGTACAGGGCAATTCTGGACCTGAAAATGCTGAACCGCCTTGTCATCTACAAGCGGTTCAAAATGCATTCGCTTCAGTCCATCTTGGATGGCGTCAGAGAGGGTGACTTCCTCACCTCTATCGATCTCAGAGGCTTATCTCCATGTCCTGATTTTTCCCGGCCATAGGCAATACCTAAGATTTTTTTATGCGGGCCGTCACTATCAGTATATACTGCCATTTGGCCTCTCTTCAGCACCCAGGGCTTTCACTAAGTTACTTGTTGCCCTGGCCGTGCACCTACGGGCTCTCCCTTTACTGGTCCAGTGCTACCTGGATGATATTCTGATCCAGTCCGCCTCCGAAATCTGGGTGCAGGAGGATCTCAGAATCACCATCCAGGTGCTTTAGGACCACGGGTTTTCTATTCACCAATACCCTACTTGGGACCTACTAAGGTACTGCAGGCACTGGCCGAGGTCCCATTTGAACCACTGCCCCAGGTGGCATTCCTGGTGGCCATAACATCGGCCAGGCGGATATTGGAGTTGGCGGCACTATCCATCCGGAGAGATCTCTATGTGTTTCAGACTAATAGAGTGATCTTGTTTGGACCCTTCCTTCATACCAAACGTGAACTCGTGATTCCACAGGGCCCAGGAGCTTATCTTGCCCAATTTCCGCCCCAATCCAGTGTATTCCTTGGAATGAAAGTGGCACACGCTAGACAGGAGGAGGGCACTCTGAATCTATATCAAAAGGTTTTCCTCATTCAGGAAGTCGGAGTCGCTCTTTGTATCATTCCACCCCACCTCCTTAGGAGCCAAGGTCACTCCATCGACCCTGGGCCGCTGGATTCGGGTGTGTATCTCCAAATCTTATGAGATATAGGTCCTTCCTTTGCCCAAGAGTATAACGGCACACTCCACAAGGAGTGCAGCCACAAGTGCGGCGTTGTTGTGACCTAGGCTCACTTAGTCATTACAGGACACAATTATTCTCAAACAAAACTATTTTATTATAACAGCTGAGAATTACTTCATTTCCATCTTAGTCCAAATTAATTCCAAAACAAGTCCTTCCGAAAAAGTCCTTCGGGCTTATCACAAACCTTTATCTTCTTTGGCACCCTGCCAAAGGCCTTTCTTGGCAAAGTCCCACAAAGTTCAGAAATAAGAGATGCCGACTGGGAAACAGATTTAGCAACGTTGCTTTCCTACAGAGCCTAAGAACCTTTGCTGCTCTTTTAAGCCTTATGGGAGGCAATCATCTCCTGGCCTTACTCCCGAGTTGTTTTAGCTGCTCTTGCTTTCTGGCAGCTTTGTGCATGCATGGACTAGGAATAGGCTCCTCCTGTTCCTCTGCCTCTCTGCTGTCTGACTGTGGAAGCTCCGGAGTCCGCACATCACTCTCAGATCTCCCTGGCCCCATCTCTGCCTCCAATGCAGAGCCCTCGTCTGGGCTTTCCCCAGACTCCAGGACTGGCCCATGCCTCCCCAGCCTCCTCACTGTCCGACTCCACTGCTAGCTCCGCGGGCTGCTGGCAGACCACAACAGGTGTGGGCAATGCAAGCCTCCCTGGAAAAGGTTTGCCATGTAGCTACATGGTCCTCCTCGTCCCCTTTCATCAAGCACTATAAACTGAACAGCTATGCCTTGGCTGAGGCGGCTTTTGGTAGGTGGGTCCTATAGAGGGTGCATGCGGATGAGGGGACCTCGGACCAAGCTGCGGTCCACCCATAAGGATGACCGCTTTGGTATGTCCCATTCCTGGATGCTATCTCCACTTCAAGGGAGAAGGTATCTTATCTGATACGCTCCTTCTCATTGAGTGGAAATAGCATCCAGCCCCACCCTAGTGACTGGCTGGTCCTCAGTCCATCAGGGGGAGAACTTCTGACCGTGGCATGTCGAGTCTGTCTCTATGCCTTCGCCAAAAGCTGGGGACCATTGGTGTAGGCATATCCTTGCAGCTTTGACAGACTCAGTCCTATTGGATAACAGACAAGGACAACCCATTCCTGGATGCTATCTCCATTCAACGAGAAGGAGCGTATCAGGTAAGACCAACGCCCCTTTCCACCCACTTTTTTGGGGGGGGAGTGCGTCTTATAGTCCGAAAAATATGGTAAATCTTACTTGTGCTACTAGCCTGTTTAAGATGTTCAGTACACCGCATTAACACTTCAGTTGAAATAGAGAAAAGCTAAAGGATGACTGATGCTCAATATGTTAAGTAATTGTTTGTTTTATTTCACAGCTTTGGCCTTTGACGGATTTTGGGTTTCTGCGTTCAAGTCCCAACAGTCACAGGATTTGTAAAGGCTAATTGATTTATGTTGTCATCTTTTTTTAACCTTTCAAATGTGATTTATATTTTTATATTCAATAAATGATGTATCAAGATTCAAGATTATTTGTAATTTAGTTTTAATGAAACAAAGAGCCTAAAAATTATCATCACATGCCTTTTCTTCTGAGAATTTTCATACACATTCAACCATTTGGAATGCAAGAATTAAACAATTTAAGATTGAGCTATTCTTTACTATTCCAGCTATTTACAATACCAGCCACATTGATGTATTTCCTGGATGGCACATCAAATAATTTCTATAACTAATGAACATGTATCACAGCTTACTAATGAAACATCTTCAACTTCATTTTTGGAAACAATGTATTTTCCACCACATCGGCACGTGAAAGAATAACAGTGATCACCTGTTGAAACAAAATAAATCAGTTTCAATGATCCTTCATATATCACATATATCATATTATTCATATATTGAACAGAACCTGAATTAAATATTTAAGGTAGAATAATAAACAATTTGCATAAAAAAGGAACCTATGGCATAATTTTATATTCCCACATGGAATGAAGTCAGGCAATACCCACAAGAGAAAACCTATTTTCAATTGTGGTTGAGAGACAAGTTTGTAAATGCCTTTTGTGATACAGCTTTTTGCTATTCCAGAAAGCCTGATAGTTAAAGGGGAAGAACATGGTAAACTACCTGTTCTGTAACGTAATCCACAGGTATATTTTCAATCACTTGCTATTTTGTATATTTACAAAAAGCATTTTGCACTACTAATTGAAAGACTTTCTATCAACATATCAAGTCAGTTAAATATCATACACACAATAAATCATTACACAAAGCAATTTGCTGTATACCGAAACAGTATCAAAGCTGGGACAGTAAAAAAGAGCAATCAATATGCACCAGTTTGTTATGATTAGAAAAGAATAATGAAAGGCAGTGATGTAATTACCAAGAACTGTTTCTTTTTACAAACAGTAAATCTAAATTACTTAAAGTATTTCATACCACATATACATTTAACTGATGGAACTTGCGACAAAGGATGAGGTAATAGTTATTGGTACTGATGCTTTTAAAAGAGAGCTAGACAACACAATGAATGTTATTTCTAACACCTTCTGATTGACTTCATTTCTAAACAATCATCAGTTTCAGGGGTCGCAAGATTCTGAATACAAGTTTCTGGGGTGTAAACAAACAGCTGTTACCTCTGCAACCAGCTTCTTGCTTGCTATTCTAGCAGTGCTCATTTATACATTAATATTTCAGTTCACATATCAGGTGGTTTCACATAGCTTACTGTGATTCCAGGTCATATCTTCAAGTGAAATCTGAGTATCCACTGGACATCCTTGTTCTAACTCATATTCTATGAGAAAACAAAAAGACATCATTTTCAGCATTGTGTAAAATAAAGGCTGTAAGCTCACAACAAAATACTGATTTGTTTTCTGTTTTATATTCATGAGCTTAAGAGGGAAATCTCTCCACAACAACTGCTCTGTAAGGTAGGTTGGACTGAGAAAGAGACTGGCTCTTTCACAGAAGTGAGCCTCTGTGGTTAAGAATGGATGAGAACACATGGTTCCAGGAAGTGAATCCAGTTCTGACAACTTTAGTTTTAAATCATTTCTCCAAGAACTGCTCATGCTTTGATACATAACAATGAATCTCAACATTCCCCATTCAATTATTTTTCTCCTGAAGCATGTTAGCACACTTCAGCATTCGTATGCTTCTTCTAGCTATCATCAGGAAGAACAATACCAATGAACAATACATTTTTATTGTAGATATTACATAAAATAAAAAGTTGATGAAAAATATTTCTTCTGAGACATAAGATTATAAACATGTCAGATGTTTTCAACCACTGTATGCAGGTAAGTCTAAAAAAGACAGTTTTCATTGTTTAATATTTGTCATTTCTCATCAAATGTTTTATCTTTTTTTAAAAAAGAGGATGTATGTGCCTCCACAAATCTTTTTCTAGTTGCCAGCTCAGCCATCTATCTGACTGCACGTCTAAACTGGTGGTGCAAATTGTGTTAAGCCTTCATATCCAAAACAGAAAGACTCCTCCTCTCAAGAATACTTAAACGGAGGGGGGGGGGAATCAACAAGCCACTAAAAATGTTGAACCTCAGCTAATTCAAGTAAATACTATACAATGAATCAACATTTGTTTTGCTGAAAAACAACAGTTTCTTTTCATACTTGAATGGCAGGTGTGTGTGGGTGTTGTCCCATCTTGGAAATGTGCCCATCTGAACCCTATGTTTGATATGAGCCTGGGCAGTTAGCATTTGAGAAGCTTTGATGGCTTCCAGAGCATTTGAGAAGCTTTGATGGCTTCCAGAGCATTTGAGAAGCTTTGATGCTCCACAAGTAATCCAATGTGAGATCTTCTGGTTGAAGTTAAGATCTGATATTAGTATCTCTATATTTCCTACTGCATTTCAGGAAAAAACAAACAACTTTGTGGAAATTATTGGTCGGATGATCCAATATAGGTTTAAACTGCAACATGTCCTTTCCAGGGCAATAAAGATTTCAAAAATATCTACAGAGAGTATTATAGTTTATCTTTCATATTTATACAAAATGTTTCTTACGCTTCAGAAAGGACAGTATGTGCTAATAGATACAAATGTATCTATTTGAGGTGTATGTGTGCGTATATACATACACACAGAGAGATACATCTTCCGATGCAGTTTAGACATATATAATAAAAAAACAGGTTAATGGAATAATAGTATGTGATATTTATAAGATAAAATAATCACAATTAAGATTAACAGCACACAAAGCACTATATAATATAATACAAATGCAAAGTGAAAAATGGGATGGTAGTTAGATAATTAACTCATAGTATCATTAACACTGGCAAATCTATTAACAAATTATTTGAGATTTACAATGTAATAATGGTTTTCTGACAGGATAATAGAGTAGTCTCCATAGAAAATAAAACTTTATCATTCGCTGCTTTGCATACATAATTACAATTTCATATTTTTTAAGTGAAATCTTAATTTAACTTGGGATTCCTTTTTTTCTCAAATTAAATAATAACAATTATTCAGTAAGATATGCTCAATAATATTAATACATTACAAAGTTTAATGAATATTTAAGTATAGATATATTAAAGGTACCAGATGTATTCATAGAATATCAAATGGATATAATATTTTAAAAGTTTTAGAGTTAAATGTATGGAAAGAGACTACATCGAACTTAGAATCCACATCAATATAAGGAAGAAATTGAGTTAGAACATTCTCCTGACTGAATATGAAAAAATATTCTAGAACAAATATACTGATGTTCTCCATTTTGGCGTATCCAATCTGCTACCACAATAGTTAACTATGAATAATGTATTGGTAGTGAAATTAAACACTTATTTTAACTGCCCTCATGTATTAGTGAAAAAAATTCTAATTAGCACTTTAATATTAAAGCATGATTTCTCCCCCACGCAATTCATTAATTAGCGGCCGATTAACCAGTATCAAGTTGGGCTATGGTCTCTTCTTCCTTTTTGCAACCTTAAATTGTGATTCTAATTTTACCTGAAATCTACACTACAGATCCCCAGGGAAAAAGTTCCATCTAAATTAATCTTAATGAAGGCAATTAAAACAAATCAGACAAGTTAGAGATAATTACTGGATCAATAAAACCTCTTTGACCTAACCAATTCTGCACACCTTCAATAAATTAAACATACAATTAAAACAAAGTTAACCCATTTACATCTAAAATTTTGCTGCTACTGAAAGAGAGAGAAATGAAAACGAATTGTTATCTTTTAGTTATTGACTAATCTACCTTAGTAATAGTTCAAGAAAAAATATTACAATTTAGCTTTTCACTGGAGCTTGTTAATGCAAGTATTTTCGTTTTTAAAATCATTTTGTTCTTTATAATGATATCAGTTCTTTATAATAATTATATTAGTTATTTAATGTGATATATAACTTTTCAAATGTTATACTTTTAAAAATGGTTCCACCCATATTCATTTAGAGCAAAGCTTACTGCTAAAAAGCCTATTTTTAGGCTTTACTCCCGAGTTTTTCCTTTCCGATAGCAGGAAATAAATCATTAAAAAAAAGATGAGAGTGGAAATGAGATACGGCTACAAACTATGTTCTAATATGTGATAACAGCATAAATGTATGCATTCTGCATCTTCTACCTTGACAAGCCCCACCCTTTAAGGTATTACAAGCTGGCCCTTTCAACAAGACTTAGGTGTTAAGAGAATTCATAATGGTGATGGGAAGCATAAAGAAAAAGGAAAAACGCTAAATGAGGTCACATCAGAAGTTACACTGGTAACTGAAATATGGCGGTATTTGTGGCAAGGAATGTAGACAGTAGTGGACCACCTCAGAATATATTGGTAAAGCCCGTCAAACAATCCAGAACATTAACAAAGGAGAGCAGCCCAGTGTGCTCACAATCAAAAGAGGCCCAGATTGCAGGCAGATTGGAGAGGGCCTAGGTTGTCTTTCAGAAGAGCACAGTGAATTGTCAGAATACACCAGACAGCTTACAAAGCAGTCCAGAGTACTAGTATTCAGATTAGAAGCCCAAGGCACTAGCCGCTGCCATCCATCGTGCTGGCAACTTTAGGAACTCCAAGGACATAAAAGCAAGGCTAGGATAACAGCAGCAGGGGGAAGGGAATTTTCAGAATCTCCAATGTACAAGCTGACAGATTTGTGATATCAAACTGCACATTCTTTCTCCTGGCACACAAGTAACTGAGAAACTGAAGTTGGCTAAGAAGGGCAAAAACAAAACAAAACAATACAAAAACAACAGAATAGGAAATGCATTGCATACTATGGAATATAGTGTAGATTATATGATAAGAATATACAATAAGGTTTAAAGCAGGGGTTGACAACCCGCAGCTCCAGAGCCACAAGTGGCTCTTTGGGCCCTCTGCCGCGGCTCCCTGTCTGATCACTGGTTTGCCCCGCACCTCTTATTTCTTTTTTGGACTCCAGCCCGAAGCGGCAGGAAGTGAAGGCTGCCTTACGCGCAAATGT